TAATGGTGACGGTTCCTAGATATAAATTAATTTCTAAGTACTTGATAATTACTTAAGAAATTACCTGGGTTGAGTATTCCTCTTCCGTAGAACTAAGTTCAATAACTTCATGAAAATCCATGTCTAGGAAGTACTTGGCAGGTACTTATAAAGTACTTGGTAAGTGCTTGAAATAAAGTGTGTAATGAACTTGGAGAAATATAAGAGGAAGTTGAATTTCAATAATAAAAAACAGTAATTTATAGGGTCGTGTGGAACGTTCCTGCTTACATAAAGGGCTTGGCATCACGTGCCGCGGGAACGTTCCACGTGTACGCAAGAAAAAGTTCATGTGAACTGTGTTCACAATGCAAGTCCTCTTCATCAGGAATTGAAGGCTTAGGTCATCATCTGCAAGGGGTGACTAGATTGATTTGCTGTGTGAATGTACTATAATCTCACCGAAGCTTCGTAGATGAGCGGTAGGATCTATCATTAGCTTACTCCCCAGGAAACACCAAGCATGGAGCATCCACCCACATCATCTAATCATTCTATCAATAGGAAACGCCATCACTCCCCCCTCTCCACCACCCATTAAGCAAACCCATTCGCCTTATTGAACTCATCAACGACCTCTCTCGTCGCCTTCACAATCTCCAAGCACCCCGGCGAATCCGAATGACAACAAATGGTAACCGGATTATCCTTAACCCCCATCTGCACCACCGACCCATCAACAGCCGTGGCCGACGAATCCTCCACCTGCTGTCTCACATGCGCCTTGACATCCTCAATCTTCCACAGCTTCTTCTTCCGATCAATCACCAGCATGCCATCCGGCCCATACTTAACATCTCCGAACAATTCCGCCCAGAACGGCACCCCCAGCTCCTTCGCCGCCTGCTCCATGTATGTTCCTCCGAGTCCCACGACCGGTACCCCGGCTGGTATTCCCCTTATGACGGCCCGCGCCACTTCCAGGTCGCGACACATCATGCCGTAGAGCACGCCGTGCGGCTTGACGTGGTGGAGGGGGATGTTTTCGCGTGCTAGGAAGCCTTGCAACGCCCCGACTTGGTAGATGACGTTGGCGGTGTGTTCCTCCGGGCTGAGCTTCATTTCGCGTCGGCCGAAGCCTTGCACGTCGGGGAGGCCGGGGTGGGCGCCGATCGATATGTTGTGCTTTTTGCACAGAGAGACGGTTTCTTGCATTATTAGGGGGTCACCGGCACTATAGTAAAGAAGAGAGGGTTAGGTTTGGGGTGATTGTTTGGGGTTATGAGAAATTGCTGCTTACTGGAATCCGCAGGCTACGTTGGCCTGGTCGATGAGGGGGATGAGTTCTTCGTCCGGACCGCATTTGAAGTTGCCGTAACCTTCGCCGAGGTCGACGTTGATGAAGACTTTGGTTCGTAGGGGAGGCATGGTGGTGAGAGTGATTATGTGGTTTAGGGGGTACCCTGTATGGGTGAAGTGGGTGACGATATATGGGATGGTCGTGGGATTAACTGTCAAGCTGTTGGAATACGTTCATGGTTGGTTCCATGGTCCTGGGAAGTGGGGTTGTTGGAGGCGGGGAACTGCCTATCGCAGTGTTGCGCTGCATTGGCTGCATTGTGCCTTAGTTTTGGGCATCATCACGTATGCCGCATAAAATTGACTTCAGTGGCAACCTGGCATCTTTATCGATGCCTTGGAGATCCCTCAAAGCCAATGTCTTGGAGGGCTTACTACGACCCACTTGCGAGGGGTTCGCTGTGTCCGTCCAAAATAGCGTGCGGAGTAGATCCATTATCCCCTCATCTTCCCGGCGCCTTATCTCTCCCTCCCTTCCTCCCGCTCTCGGTTTCAGATCAATGCCGAAATCGGTCAATAAGGACCAACACCCAGGTGACATCAACCCATCAAAAGCTCGACTTTTCCAAACCAGGTTCTCCTATGATGGCCCCCACGCCAAAGGACCCCAAGGTAGCCTTATGTTGATACAACCCAGATTGTCAGGAGCGTACAAAGGATACTCGTGAAACACGTTCCGCACAACTGGGCACGCATAATTCCAAATACTTACTGCGAGCATGCCGTTATCCCGTCCGGATTGCTATTTTCCAAAGCAGGGAAAGCTTAGGTGTTGCACCTGATGCTAGCTGTACGACTGGGCCTTGCACACAATGCCGGGATGCATTCGGTTGCCGACCAGAGAGAGAGCCATTCGAGTGACGTTGAATGTCCCGGGGATTGGAACAAACACGAGGGCAGCAGTCATCCTGGAGACCAGCTTGATTCTTACTCGTGGATCTATCCGAGGGCGGAAGACATTGTCTAACATCTGGGAACAGGCGACAACCTTGTATAATAAGTCTAGACTATGGCATTGTAGTTGTATTCCTGGCAAATGGACAGACTATCGGGTCGACTGACCACATGCCCTCCTTGGAGTTCCGCCGTGCTGATCGGAGCATTTCATTGCAGATGGCACTTTGCTAGATAATGGGCAGATTTTGAGACGAGTTTTGATTGAAAGTCCGGTGCTGCTGATTGCTTGTCCTACCCATTGCGGAGCGGTCAACCGTTATCCAGGAATGGAATGTTTAGGATGGTGTGGGACCTAGATAGGATGGACGGACGGTAAGTCAAGTAGTAGAGGGAAGTTTGAAGCCTGTTGCCTACTGGGAGATGTCTGTACAATCGTAGTATCTTCTGCTTTGTGCTTCGGTGGCTGTGAAGTCGAGGATAAGCCGGCAGGTGACAAGGCGAGGCGGTCGAATAGGAACGCGGGGATTACCTCCCTCCACCACCCACCAACTGCAATCAACTGCTGTCGCCCACACCGGCTGAACCTCTCCGATCCCTCTCAACTTCATCCTGCTCCCTGGTGGCGTCTGTCATCCTATCCCCGCCTCGCAGCGTTGTTTCAACATCGTCTGTGGTGTCCCCTGTGTTCAGTAACCCCTTCTTGAGCAACTGCTGCCATCTTCGTGTTTTTATCTTGAATTAAAAAAAAAAAAAAAAAAAAATGCACTCACTGGTCGCTGGGCCTTTTCGTCCTCGCAAACCGTGGCGTTTGTCTCTTCCCCTCCCGCCTCCATCCATTATCATCGAAACCTGCATGAAAGGGAGTGTTCTAGCTCCAATCGCCATGCTTCCAATGGAGACCCGGCTCTTGTCTGAGCTCCTACCTCGGATCGACGAATCCGCGTCGCACAACTTGCACCAGCTGTCTCCGCAATCTGCTGCTCTAGTGCAACTCTTATCACCTGGAGGTCCCTCTCTCTCCTCACCGTCTGGGGCCGTCTCGGGGCGTTGAGTTATCTATCGCACATCCAGGCTTTCCCTATCTTTTCTGTTTCCCCTGCCATCGGACAGTCAAAACAGCCTTATCTGCTTGGGAAGTCTCCACGAAAGCTGTTCGGTTGCGCTCCCCTCTTCCCTTCCCACCACCCAGTTGACGAGGCGAACCCCCTCCCTCTTTCCTCGGACAACTATCTTCCTTCTCCTCATACTTTTTATGACACGTTCCATCTGGAATCGGTTTATGTCATCGTCACATCAGATTCCGATATGGAAGACATCAACATCCCTTCCCCATCTGCTATTCTAGACGTTCAACGTCCCTCCGCATCGGGTGCCGGGCATTCCAACCCGTCTGTCTCTCCCAAGAACTCGACTGCAGGCCAGCGAGGTGCTGCCAAAGATCATAGCAAGCCGAAGCAGACCAAGAGCCGTAACGGTACGGTATCATTACTTTTCTACTAGTTTTAGCGCGATGGGCATGGAGGGCGACAGATGTGTTGAAATAAGAGCACAAGAGACATGAGCAGAGTGACAAGGGCACAGACGCTCCAAAAGTCGCAGCGCGCTGACGTCTTATTGTTCACCTTATCCAGGCTGCCAGACTTGCAAGGACAAGCGATTGAAGTGTGACGAGACCAAGCCAAGTTGTATTCAATGTAGGAAGCGAAACGTGACATGTGAAGGATACATAAAGAAATTCAAATGGCGCAACGGCTTTGGGCAGAAGAGTTTTGTTGGGGGTACGAATGGCAGTGCAAATACAAAGAAAGGTATGCTAACAGCCCCAGGCCATCTCAACTTTAGGGTGTATTGCTGACGTTCCTTTAGCTATCCAATATCAGTCTAATGAGAACCCAAGTACAGAAAGTTCAGGAACCCATATTCCACAAAACCAATCCAGGGCGCCAAAGTCACAGCAAGCTGCCTCTAGCCTTCCTTGCATGGGCTCGGGGTCTTTTATGGATCTTGCTGACCTGACCTCGAAGAATGCATCGCCTTCAAAACGGTCCAACAGGCGTTCATTCAGCGACAAGGATTCGTTTGGCAACCCAGATGAGTTTATTGGTCAGCTAACGCCAGTGAGCTTCAATGACGACATTCTCGCATCGTCATTCACAGACGTCTCGCCTTCAGACCAGATTTCTTGGATTTCTGATGTCTCATTGGCTGCAGTAGAGCAAATGCCGGGTAATGAGCGCGAGCCCAAACGTGACTTTGGGCGCAACAACTCCTATGCAGAAGAAGGTTTTAGCTTCGAAGAATTGATGGAGGTTGATGATGAGGATATCGAGGAGATAGTACGAAGGCCCGACCGAAGCATGGAGTCCGGGCGGCCGGAGAACGCCAACAGGAACATCGCTCCGCACCAGGAACTATTCAACATCTGCAGGGAACCCAACCTCGGCATTGCAAGCCCAGAAATGCTGGTTTTGCAGTTTGATAGGGTGACGTGTGGAATATTGTCTGTAAAGGACGGTGTCCACGAGAATCCGTGGCGAACTTTGATCTGGCCGTTGGCTAAAGAGACACCAGCTCTGTATCATGCTGTGTTCTCGCTTGCTGCCTTCCATTCAAGCAAAGAGTTTCCGGCCTTGCGAGTTCACGGTGTGGATCACATGCGCCAGAGCATCACCCACTTGGTGCACGACATACGGAACATGAGGGTTGATGCAGCATTAGCGACGAGCCTGGCGCTTGCGTTTGCCGATACCTGGGACCAACACACTCGTACCTGCATTCAGCATCTAAAAGGTGCCAAAGCACTAGTCTCACAAGTGGTGGGGCTCGGTGCTCAAGGCGAACTGCGTGGGATTAACCTGAGCAGGGTGCGTTTCCTTTACAATACGTGGCTGTATATGGACGTAATTGCTCGCTTGACCTCTCGTGAGGAATCGGGGAATCTGGAGGTGAACGCACCTTTTTTCCAACTCCCAAGCCACGCTGTACATGAGATTGATCCTCTGATGGGCTGCGCTACGACGCTTTTCCCTCTGATAAATCAAGTGGCTCGGTTGGTTCAACGTGTTCGCAAGACAACATCTAATTCCATCTCGCTTATTTCGCAAGCCATAGAGCTGAAAAGGCTTGTTGAGCAGTGGGAACCACCGCAATTCTTCGAGACTCCAGAGGACCCATCTTCCGAGGTCCAGCATAGTATTCAGACAGCCCATGCTTATCGCTGGGCAACACTGTTATACCTTCACCAGGCGGTACCTGAGATGCCTTCAGAGCCAACCTCCGAGCTTGCCAAGCGCGTGCTGATTTTGTTGGCTACCGTTCCTTCAAGTTCTCGAACCCTGATTATCCAGATGTTCCCTCTGTTGGCGGCAGGATCCGAAGCAGAGCAAGAGGATGATCGTCAGTGGGTGTTGAGCCGGTGGGAATCTATTCAAACCCGCCTCATGCTGGGCTCAATTGATCGCTGCATAGAGATAGTCCGCGAAGTCTGGGCACGCAGGGATGCTTTCGAAGATGAGAAACAACGATTGCGGGGATCGTCTGGGCGTGGGATCAACTCTGTCATGGAGACTTTGACGAACGATAGAGTGCCTCTCACTAGCCTTGGGTCGAATGATCAGAGGGCCCGTAGTACCTACGCCAAGGAGCCGTGGAGGAGGACGATTCAGGAGGAATGGTTGGCCTCTAAGGCTACTATTGGAAACTCGCGACGGAGCTCCGCTATCTCCCCGTTGGAGAATATTGAATTCGAAAAGACGGTTCGGGGCAAATTGCACTGGATCAACGTAATGCAGGATTGGGGATGGGAAGGTATGTGTGAGCTTTTGCTTGCTGTTTCATTGAATCTGCTTTGCTATTCGTACTTGTGGAGAACACCAGCTCATTCATATAGTGTTCCTCGGTTAAGACCAGTGTCTAGTGTGTTCGACACGAGCGCATCTTCATCACCGGGCGGGGGCGGCCATCACGATCGTTATTCTTGCTTCCTTTCCGACGTGGCTGCTCTCGCTGGGTATTTTGATCGGAATTGCTCGAGCTGGTATTTGTCTCGGACTCTTCAGCTGGATCCTCTGTTGGAGAAGCTGGGGGCTTGTTCTTAGCCAGATACGATCGGAGGGATGCCAGATAAGGCTCTAGGTCACTCGTTATGGACACAGTAGTAGCCATGGTTGCGAGGGCTGTACAATGATTGAACGATTGAAGGGTTGATGGCGCGACGGAAGATATATGCTTTTTGGATTGCTTGAATGGGTATTGTCGCGCGGGGTCTTACACTGGAGGTTGAAATCAGCAAGGCGTTCTGCGATGAGTGTAGCAAATAGTCACATTCTTTACGGGACTACCTGGAAGTTTTGTCAGGTCCCGGGTGCTTTCTTTTGGAATAAATTAATGTCGAGCTATGGCGCGTCGGTGTATGGTCTTGAGTGTCGCTAGGGAAGAGAATGATTTCCGACCGAGATTACTGGCAGACTGAATGGCGCATGGGACAGACGATAGTAGTTCGCAAGGGGAGTGTACTATGAGTACTAGGATTGACTGTTTGGCGATTCGAATATAGGTCAGAATGAGGGCAAACAGGCGATGGTAGGCGGGCAGTCGCAGGGGACAGTTTCTGAGAATGGTCGATCGTATACAACTGTCTACAAGATGAACAGTCGGGGCGTATATGCGAGTCGGCGAGGGTTATGCTGCTAGGAAGTAGTTGAGGGGTTTCTGCGTGAGGAAGAAGATTTGCATTGGGTGGCCGTAGTGTTTTTGCTGCTTGGGCTGTTCGGTCGGTATGTTTTGCTTTGGTCGGTCACAAGTCGAGCTTTTCCTGTCTTTCCTCTTTCTGTTTCTTTTCCTTCTTCTTTGCTTCTTCAACTACCAGAAAAGAAAAGGATCAAGACTGCAAGACGAAGGTGGGAAAAGCCAGCGTTTTAAGACCGGCCGATCCCCACCAAAACCCGCAGGACTACGGGCTTAGTTCAGCTTTTGCTTTTACTTGCTTAGGAAAGGAAAGGGAAAGGTTGAGTTAATTTTTTTACTCTGCTTAGTTAGTCAGTTAGTTAGTCAGTTTCCTTTCTTTTCCCTCTTTTCTTCTCCTGTCGTGGTCTGATTTCGGATCTTGCTTTGCCTTGCATAGGAGTGATTTTAGTAGAAATTATGCAAGTATATCTGCGGATGAGCTAACCTACTTTTTCTTTTCTTTTCTTACCTTATGGAGAGGAGAGTCCAATGGTGGGTGCTGAAGATACACACTCTTGATAGGGGAAGAATCCCCGGGTGGGTGGGGAAGGGAGATGGAGAGAAGAAAGTGACTGACTGACTGACTGACTGACTGATGGATAGGATAGGACAGGATAGGCTTTGCAGTTCGAGTTCGGCTTTACTGAACTGGGCAGGTGGATGATCATTACGCTGGAAGGGAAGGGGAGGAGGGGGAGGGGATGGGCTCAGACACTCGCTGCATGTGAGCTGTTTTTTCTTTCTCTACAGAAAATGAGTGTATGGTCAGGTGGATTGGATTGGACTAGTTAGGATATAGGGTTATTGGAAATTGATTTTGAAGTCGTCATGGATGATGAAGATGACGAGTTTGGTCAGTTGCTTTGCTTTGCTTGTTCTGGCTGTTGTTGGATTTCTCGCGGTTGAGTATAGTAAGTACATAGTATAAGATTTGCTGGGGTGAGATGGTGTCAGCATGGAGTTTAGGGGAAGAGGGGATGGATTGGATGAATACTATGCGAGGGGGGGCATAACTACTTACTGACTAGTATTTAGTTAGTTAACTAGGTACTACTTACTTACTAAGTAACCTTGATATCGTATCATACTATCATATCATATCATATCAAATCCACGAGGATTGGTCGGAAGTACTAACCCATCTGGGGTAAAATATCCTGTTCTTGCTTGTCTGCTTGCTTCCCCTGCCATGCGTCGGATGTCCATGCCTTGCCTTACTTGATCTTACTAACTAGGACTTGGTTCCTTTTCGGATGTGGTATCCTATCTATTCTAATTCTTTCCTAGGATGGTCGATAGTAGTACTTTGTGCATACTATGCCTGTCTCTCTCGCTATCAGTAACTATCAAGGGCACCCCGGTTTACTCCTCCCTATCTGATAAGTTTTCGGAACTGAGAAATTCCCCTCATCGAGTTTACTCTACTTGCTTACTAACTACCCCTCAGTTCGCCAACTCCTACTGGGATTGTACTATTCTATGTCTACTATATGTCGAAGCGTGCTATCTATCCCACTACGGGAGTCGGATCCGTGGGAAGAGAGTCAGACAAACAGCAATAGCAAAGAGGAGGAGAAAGAACTGGAATGCTCCGCACGGGTATAGGTATTCCGTTGTAGGTAATGAGATCAGAAATGAGCGAGGATAATGTTGGAGAGGTGTTGGTATAAAGCCTATAACCTCCCAGTGTATCTAAAGAATGGAATATTAGAAGACTCTCATACAAGTACTTACTATCTATTTGTGACTACTGCTACAAATCCCTGCACCAAACATGGCCATCGCATTCAAGCACCACCCTCGATCCCAACAAACCTATGAGCCTCCGCTCATTGCCAATGAGAATGCCTTTCTGGGGGATGTAGATTCGAGGTATATACCCCATTCCTTTCACTAATTGATCTTCTTCCCCATGCTATCTCATATTATTGAGTGTCCTAGTATGTTCAATTAGACACTAAATAAGGAATGTATAGTGACAGCTACAACCCCGAAAAACCCATCTCAGCCGGCTTCTACCGTCTGGAAAAAGGCACTCCGCTGGTATACGAATACACCTTTGATGAGATGAAAATCATCCTGGAAGGCAAGTTCGAGATCTCGGATGAGACCGGCCAAAAGGTTGAGGCTTTTCCCGGGGATGTGTTTCATTTTCCCAAGGGGAGTAAGGTGACTTTTACGACGCCGTCGTATGGGTTGGCTTTTTTTGTGAGTATTCTTTTTTTTTTTTTTTTTTTTTTTTTCTGCTTCTTGCGGTACTGTTTCTCTTTTGGTTGCTGACTGAGTGATGGTGGTAGACGGGACAACGGGCCAAGACTGCTTGAGTGATGATGTAATTGGAATATCCTGGGTTGTGATGAATTAATTCCTTGCTGGTAAAACGGGCTATTTATTACTATGTCTTATTGAGGAAGAGAAGGGGGGAGAAAGATAGTCTAGTTGATGGCTGGGAGATGAACCATGGTTTGGGAGACAGAAAGGTTCCACTGCTTATGGGAGCGGTTCCTTGGTTGTGTTTACGGGAAGTGTAAACAAGAACCAGGGCGCAATGACGCCGGTGTGGATTGCACCCCTCTTCTCTAAATCAACTTGCTAGTACTAGTATTGTTTCAATTTTGAATTGCTTAAATTTAAAAGAATGGAATTGTTGTAGTCTGGACCGAAACACTGATGTTGTGTGACTGTCAGTATCAGAGCTGTCTGTATACACCCGATGGATGGGGATGGAATTTAGCATCACCACCACCACCAACCAATTCTCCTCCCTCCCTCCGTAAATGATCAACTCAGATCTGCCCCATGGGATCGGAGACGATCTCACCCAACAAGGTTCCAGATATAGAAGGACGACTAGTTTTACCCAGATTGCTGGACACACTAGTTTCTCCCCCCCCCCCCCTCGTCTAAAGGTAGTTGAGTGGGAAAATGACGTGCAGAGACACTCTGACTGGTGGTGGGAGAAGATGACTCCATCCTCAGCCTCACGAGTTCCCCAATCACCATCCGAAAGGGCGTCAGGAACGAGATTGACTCGCGGCTGGCCCTGGCATCGTCACCAGCATTGGAGAGCAGATGGGATCGGAACAAGGGAGTTACCCCAGCAACGTTGCGATGGTCGCAGAGAGAGGGGCGGCGCAGAGTTGGATCGGTGGCATCTCGTTGGTCTGTTAAGTCAAGAGTGGCTGGTTCTCAGCTGCGGCTCATCTTTTGCTTTGCTGAAGTTAAACTGTAACTGGGAGAAGAAAGGGAAAAGTGGATGGGTTGAGAGAAAGGAAGGAAGGAAGAAAGAAAGAAAGAAAGAACAGTAAGAAAGTTGAGAGAGAATATTCACTTTCTTGAACTTCCACTTCCTTCCCCCCTCTCTTTCCCCTTCCTCCCTACTTCATTCAACAACTTCTCCCCTCTCTCCTTCTTCTCTTTCTTCCTCCCTCTTCTTCATCATTCCCAATAAATCCCATTGGGCATCGTCTCTTTCTCCCCTGACTGACTGACTTGTTCTCGTCGGGTCATCGTCCTTGCTTCTCTCCATTCCTGCCCGAACAAAGTCATTGATCTTCTCTGTCTCCTCTTCTTCCTCGTTGCTTTTTCTTGTCTCTCCACCCCTTCTTTGCTTTTTTTTTTTAATCTTCCGTTTTGTTTTCCATCCCATTTCTTTTTCCATTCGCTTGAGATTCCGAGTCTCTCTACTCGTGCTTTAATTTCCTATCCCTCGTTCCTTTTTAATCTCCCCGCCACGACCTCTTCCACCTCGCGGTCGTTGTTTAGAGACCCCCGTGTCAGTGAGCTGGTCCATACCTCCCCCAGTTGAGAACGGTTGCCAGCACACTTCCGAGCCCAACATGGCTCTCAATATCGACACCTCAGATCGCCCCGGCCTCCGTCTTCCCAACCCGCCGCCACTCCTTCATACTCGTGCCGGAAATGAAGCTCTCGATCGCCCCTCCACACCCGCTGAAAATGGCTTCACCAGCCCCGTGCAAACCCCCCAAGGGAGTCCCAGCAAAAATCGCATGCCCCCCGGCGCAATCGACCTGCCCAACGTGTTCGAAAAAGCTCTCAAGCTGAACCCCACCTCGCCCACCAAAGGCACCTATAACCACTACAACCACCCCATGTTCGCGCCGCCCCGATCCGGTGAGGACTTTACCGAAAGTGTCATCCGTCAGCCACCAGGCAGTCCCACGCGCAAAGCCAACAAAGAAAACACCCCTCCCAACTCCACCCGTCTCACCAAAGACCTCGGTCCGAACCCCGCGGCTGCTGCCATCTCCCGTCATGAGCCATACCAGCAACGAGATCTCGAGAGTATTCAGCGTCGTCAGGTTCCCATGCGGGGGTTGACCCCGGAGGAGTTGGAGAAGCTGCAGAATCCTAGAGTTAAGCGATTGGTAAATGTGACACAACTGTGTAGGTGCACCTTGCAGGTATTCCAGTGTATTGGCTAACTGTTTAGACTTCCTCGATCACTACTTTGATTTGTTGAGCTACGTACACAACCGCCAAAACCGCTATGCGCAGTTCCGGTCTTCCAACCCCGAGCCCCCCGCCACTCCGATGGAGACGTATGAGCCCGCTCTGCTGAAATATCTGGGTCGGGAACGGGCCCACCTCCGCAAACGCCGCACTCGACTCCGCCAGCACGACTTTCAGATCTTGACTCAAGTGGGCCAGGGAGGTTACGGACAGGTCTATCTGGCGCAGAAGAAGGATACGAGGGAGGTGTGCGCGCTCAAGGTGATGAGCAAGAAGTTACTTTTCAAGTTGGACGAGATCCGCCATATTCTCACTGAGCGCGATATCTTGACGGCCGCCAAGAGCGACTGGTTGGTCAAGCTGCTGTACGCGTTCCAGGATGACGACCAGATCTACCTGGCAATGGAGTATGTGCCGGGAGGTGACTTTCGCACGCTGCTGAACAACACCGGAGTCTTGCACAATCGCCATGCTCGGTTCTACATTGCAGAGATGTTCAGCTGCATTGATGCGTTGCATGCGTTGGGATACATTCACCGCGATTTGAAGCCGGAAAACTTTCTCATTGATTCAAGTGGTCACGTTAAGCTGACCGACTTTGGCCTGGCCGCAGGTATGCTAAACCCTGGCAAGATTGAGTCCATGCGGGTGAAGCTGGAGGAGGTTGGCAACACGCCGGTGCCGTTCGGTCGCCCCATGGAACAGCGCACGGTAGCAGAGCGTCGCCAGGGATATCGGTCGCTGCGGGAGCGCCAGGTCAACTACGCCAAGTCGATTGTTGGGTCGCCCGACTACATGGCACCCGAAGTGCTCAAGGGCGAGCAGTATGATTTTACGGTCGACTACTGGAGTTTGGGATGCATGCTCTTCGAGGCCCTCGCCGGATACCCGCCGTTTGCAGGCGCGACGGTGGACGAGACGTGGCAAAACCTGAAGAACTGGCAAAAGGTGCTCCGCAAGCCGGTGTACGAAGACCCGAACTACTTCCTGTCGCGACGCACGTGGGACCTCATCACCAAGCTGGTGGCGTCGAAGGAGAAGCGGTTCAAGAACATTCAGGAGATCCACGCGCACGACTACTTCAGCGAGGTGGACTTTAACCATCTGCGCGAGCAGCGTGCGCCGTTTGTGCCCGAGCTGGATTCGGAGACAGACGCGGGCTACTTTGACGACTTTACCAACGAAGCGGACATGGCCAAGTACAAGGAGGTTCACGACAAGCAACGCGCGCTGGAAGAGATGGCGGAGCGTGATGATAAGATGAGCAAGGGATTATTTGTTGGATTTACATTCCGGTAGGCTATCCACCAAACTGCGTATCTGGGTATATGCTAACAGCAACAGACACCGCAAGCCGGCCATGGACGGGCTAGGCCGCGGCTCGCCGCGCAAACCGATCGCGACGGACGGATCATTCGGAACGATGTTTTAGACTGCATGAATGACAGGAGTTCTATTCGGGCACGAGCTGGATCTCGAGGATTGTTTTAGCGAGTACTTTTAATGGAACGGATACGAAATGGGAGGGTTAAGAAAGGAGTTGTGTATGATACAGCTATCGTAGACTTGCATGAGTGCAGTATACTAGGATCAGAATAGTCAATCCTTCACTCCAACTCCTGCACCATTTTGAGAATCTCCGACTCATTATCCCCAATCACAGCCTGTCCTTTCGTCCAGTCGACTGTCTAGAAACCAATTAGCATATCCCTTCCCCAAACCCATCCCCTTCTCGCTTTCTCCCATCAATGAAATGAAAGAATCAACTCACAATCGGACGAACAAAAGTCCCTTCAGGATCCGCCTTAAACCTCTTAACCGCATCCTCCGCATCCCTCGCCCCCCTCACCACCTCGCCCACACCATACACCTTGCCAATCCCAGCACCACTCCCGGACACTCCACTCCCAGATACATACTCGAGAATATTCCGCAACTGGTCGTTCGTCGGCGGCGCAGTGCTCACCTCGAGTTGGAATTCGCCGCGGGGGGTGCCTGTCGTGCTTGCTGCTGTTGTGGATGCGCGTTGGAGGATGCTGAGGGCGGATTTGCTGGAGGATAAGTTGGGGGCGTGGAAGAGGGTTATGGGATCGAGGGTTTTTGCCTTTTTTTTCTCTTTTGTTAGTTTTGGGGGTGGGTTGGGGGGATGGGATTGGGATTGGGATTGGGATTGGGGATGGGAGGGGGATGGGCGTACGAAGCGGAAGACCATTTTGGATGAGATTGAATTGGGTTGGATTGGGTATGTTGGTAGATGGCGGATGGTAGGTAGGTGGTATGTAGGTGATGTATTGATATCGGCAGCAGGGGTCTGATGGAGATAATTGGAGTGGTTGGTGGTCGGAGGTCTGGCTGATTACGTCATATGGGTTGACTCACTAGTTATCTACGGGAGGTGTGTTTGGTTGCCCGTTTGGGTGCCCGACTTTTTGTTTCTTTTTATTTTTGGTTTTGATTTAGAGGATGAAGAGGGGTTTTATTGCTTGATTATTGTACAGTATAGGGTTTTACTTAATCGTTTAATGGAGAGGCATCTTGCTTAATGATTTGATATCATAATTGTTAAAGTGGTTAGGGTATCATATCATCTAAAACATATGCTATTTACTTGTATGCTGCAGCACTACCACCCAAATTGCTCAACATGCAGGTATATTCCCTGCGCCCCCGTCCCCTTATGTACTGCGCGCTCATCGCTCAGACACACCACGCTGCGTCGCACGTCGTCGGACAACCCCCTCGGTCCACACACCACTACCGCGCTCTCGCCCTCTGCTTTCTCGAGGACCTTGCGGATGATTGTGCGCGCGTGCGGTCGACCAGACAGGACTGTAAGATTGGGCAGCGGTTTCTGCGTTGGCTTCGAGTCTGATCCTGTTGCAAGCTCGCTTGTAGACTGCGGTGCGGCATGACCTGAGCATGTACAGGTTGTAGCGTCGATGGCATCTTCATCTTTGATGGGTGCTGTGCAGCAGCATGTTCCGTCTGGTTGACAGCCAGACTGCTCCACAGATTCTATGGCTACAGCGTCGGTCGCTGCTTTCTCCGCTTCGAGGGATTTCTCGTTCGCAGGTAAGCTTGTCTGCAGCTGGAACAACGACTGTTCCTGGGCGCAAAGCGTGTTCTGCACCTGCTCTAGCTTCTCGTCACAAGTAATGTAGATGCTCATCTCGATTTCCCGAATGACGTCCGGATTGGCCAGCCGAACTTCCTCAACATCCCTAAGCACCTCTTGCAACTGGCGGTCGAACCAGCTCAGCTGCGTGCGCGATTTGATCACCCAGACGAATCGGATCCGCTTGGTTGCTGCAAGCCGCGCTGTGCTTTCAGCCTTCCACTTGGCGACTATATCCCGCAGGCAAGGCACGGTGAATGTCGCCCCCATACCGCCGGCAATTAGGATCACGCTGTCAAACTGCTTCAGAGGCCGCATCTGTCCATACGGTCCCTCGATGAAGACTGCACGTGCCTGCTTCACAGCCACCTGGTCACTAGCCCCAAGCACCTGGTGGTTCTTCGATGCATATCGGAAAAAGCGTCGAGTGCCGCCCTTTTCTGCCCGCACGAACATCACCATCTTGTTGTCTTCTGGTATGGACGCAATGGTGAAGGGATGGCTCTGCAGAGGCACAATGGAGTGGCATGTGAGAAACACATGTTGACCCGGCTTCCACCCGACTCCGGGATTCTCAATCGCTATACGAGTTACATTGCCTGGCAATGGCGTGAAAGTCGCCCGGTTAGCCCAGAGGGCATGGCCCGGTCTCTTTGAACGATGGAAGATCGACAAATTCACATAGGTCGCCCACAAGTAGCGCGCCACCCGGTCAAAGACAAGAAAACCGATGGGAATCCACACCCACACTTTTACTTCTGCCGGTGCATGGAGCCACACGGCAACGATGAAACCAACAAAGGTCACCAGATGCTGTAAAACAAAGAACTCGTACCCAAACCGTCGAATCGGTGCGGCGGACGTAATAACAATAAAGGTCAAGATAATCCATGCGGCGAAACCTCTCGTTGCCAGGGTGTAGTTCTTCAGCTCGTATACGATGTAGTTATAGCGGCCCCAATCACGAAACCAGAAGCACATGTGGATTGTAGCGGTCAACCACAGCGTCCGCGCGATCCACCGATGGAACCAATTAAGACGCTCGTAGCTCATACCTACGAGCATGCCAATGAGGTTTTGCCTGCCCGCCAACAAGAAGATCAACGGCAGCTGGCAGATGGCAATGAACCCAGTGCGGTAGCCCACATCTTCCCATTTCCACTGGTCGGCCGTGTCCAACTTGTAGAAACAAAAGACGAGCACGACGATGAGGTTTGCCAGGATGATGGACACCGGGCCCAGCGGTGCAAAGTGATAGGAGTGGCCGCGGAATGACAAAGGGGGCAAGGTTGCATAGCTAGCTTCACGCACGATGGCCGTTAAGGTGGCATATGTGCTGAAGAAGATAGACTTGGGCTTGGAGGGAGTCAGGGACGAGTCATTTAACCTGATGGAATGAGCATACGTTATTTCGATAAACAAAGGAGCTTACCTTTGGTAGGCGAGAAAGCGATTCAGAATATTAATGACCGTTCCAGCAGCGATGGCACTACCTACAACAGCCCAGTACATCTTCTGCAGGTAGAACAGACCAGGCACGCCATCTCCCATGGACATGTGGCCCATGCCAGACATGGACATGTCCATCTTGCAGGTATGTAGACTAGTATCCGGATTAGGGCATAAAGAAAGGGAGATCAGTATATACTAGAAATGAAAGGAATTGTATTCAAGCATGATGGTAGAAGAAATGCACGATGTACATATCGCGGGGAACGAAAGAGAAGGAAGCAAATGACAATTAGGCGAAAACGAGCGACTAAGGGCCCGAGATCGAACCCGATGCCAATACTGCCTATCTACTCTAGTCAGTCATATTGAGTATAATTGAGAGAAAATGAGAGGGAACAATAGTCAAAGCGACTCAGTGAGTAGTAATAATCTGCTCAATCCCCACCTGCTAATCCGGCCATGCTTTCGGACGGGCCTTGAGCTCTGCAGCTGCTGATTGGCTCCCGCAGCCAAAATGTGCTCAAATGCCGCCCAAATGTGCTCTAGCGCTATCGGCCGCTTACCTGGCGGGTCCGCGGGTTTTCAAGGTCCTTTAAAGATGCGGAAAATCACCGGCTGTGACAGCCATGGCCCGCTTTTCTATGTCTTCATTAACATTTCATTCCTCTTTTTTCTTCTTCCTTTTCCCAATCCCGTCATATAAAGTATCTTGTAAATAGGGCTGGTGCTTTGACATCTTTTAATATATCCATTTCCCACATTCCAGTTCATACCTCCTACCCGAACCGTCCATACCAAACACCACCCTAATCCTACTTTACTCCACTCACACTACATCACAACTTACCAACAATGGACATGAGCTCAATGACCGGTATGGACATGGGAACCACCTCCACTACCATGTCCGGCATGTCAATGGCTACCTCCACCGCATCGTCCACAATGGACATGTCTATGGGCTCCTCCACCTCTACCTCCATGTCCATGCCCATGTCCACCTCTTCCTCCTCTTCTTCTTCTATGTCCATGTCCATGTCAATGGTCTTCATGAACGCCCACGACACCCCCCTCTTCTCCAACCAATGGACCCCGTCCTCCAGCGGCACCTACGCCGGCACCTGCATCTTCCTCATCGTCCTCGCCATCATTTCCCGCTGTCTGGCCGCATTCAAAGCCCTCATGGAACGCCGCTGGCTCGACGCCCACGTCAACCGTCGCTACATCGCCGTCGCAGGGAAATCCACCGAAGCAGGTCGCATTGACGCTGATCCCGAATCCAAAGAAGCCAGTCTCATCACAGCCCAAGGTGTCGAGGAGAAAGTCAAGGTCATCCACAAAGCAGCTCGCGAACCTCTCCCTTGGCGATTCAGCACAGATCTCCCTCGCGCGCTGCTTTTTCTAGTCATCACCGGTGTTTCTTACCTACTGTATGTTCCCCTTTACCTCACCTCCACAAATATCGAACACATACTAATACAACAATCACAGGATGTTGGCCGTCATGACCATGAACATCGGATACTTCTGCTCCGTCCTAGCCGGTGCCTTCCTAGGCGAACTTGCCGTGGGACGCTTCATCCAGTGGAACGAGCATGAACATTAGTCCTACCCACATACATGCATACATACATATTCATTTCGGGTTCCGCGAACATAACGACTTCTATTTCGCACGGTGTTCTCGGTTCGGGTGTTCGGTGCTGGTCTGGCGTTGCATTGCATTGCATTGCATTCATTTCATATTTCTGGGATAGCGAGTGTCACGCATGTGCACTGTTGCTTTTTGGTTATTTGTCAGATACCACTTTTCGCTTCTTGGTCTCTCGGATCTCTGCTCTGTGTCTCTTTTTTGCCCTGATATCATTACAGTCGACGGTGTGTGATTAGCTTAGACTTCAGTACATAGAGATAATGTCTGAGGAGGTTTTGGACTGTGTCGGCATAATACCATGGTTTTGGTCGAAAGGCATAACATGCATGGGAATACCACATAATCCTTGTAGGCTTTGCAGGTTACAGTGGACTATTGGCCTCACGCGGAGGGAATCCAGAC